TGGATGCCTCTGAGAGAAGGTAGCAGGGGAGTGAGGGGTCATGGGCAGAGGTGCCCTGAGCAGTGACACAGGCCCTCCCATCCCACCCATCTCCCTCACATCCCACCCGTCTTCCTCACATTAGCACCTTTATCCTTCATTGCCATCAGCATCAACTGCATTCACATGGAAGGGGCAGGCTGGGATGGGAACAGGGCAGAGGAAGGGTCTGCTCTGCAGGAGGGCCAGACTCCTGCCCACCACCAGAAAGGCTGCATGGAGCTATCCCTGGAAAAGGAGACGGGCAGGATTAGGACTGCATCTGGGACTGCACACTTGTTTAATAAGTGCTCCCTCTCCTGGGCCATGGCCACATTGTTCCAGAGAAAACTCAAGTGCTTCTGCAAATTGGGAGGATCTCAATCTGGACAGGCTCCTGGACCTGGGCAGGGACCTTTCCTCAGCTCCAGAAGGCCCCAGTTCCACATCAGAATGGCTCCTCAACTCAAAAAATCCCTGGGCACTCAGTGAAGATCTGACATTTGAACATCTCTGTGCTGTATGTGCCCACCAAGATAGAGCATCATGCTGGCTAGAAGCTTATCTTCTCCCTTATACCTCTCCCTTGGTGACCTGAGAACTGGGAAGATGCGGGGGAGAGATTTGACCGACTGGGAGAGAGACCAATGTGGTTTAGAGGAAACATCTCTCACCAAAGTTGTTCTGTGCTGAAGGCCAGAAGGGAAAGTCTGTGTCAGCATTCCATCAGCCTTAATTTCAAGAGTTTCAAAAGCAGAGATTTCAAAGGGGGGAAAAAAAGGCAGTTTCCTTCAAAGAGGAAAAAGGTGGGAGATGCACCTAAGGGATGAACAGAAAAGGTTTCTCCTGGGTAGCTGTGACTCAGAAATGGCATTTTCTAGGTTCTAATAAGGGATGTCAAGTCAGAGGTAATTTATTCATGGTGAGCTGCTGTGGTTGCTATGGAGAGCATAATGGGGAGAAACTCTTTTAATGCCTGGTGTATTGAGGAGGAAAGTGTTTTTGAAGATAAAACCTCAGTGTGAGGATAAAAGTGGCAAATGGTGATTAAGAACATTAAGGAAAAAAGCAAGCTGTCTGTAAACACTTTGACCACAGCTTTGGGAGGCAGGGTCTGAGCTCCTTCTGCTTGGCTCCCCTCTGAGTGGGCAGAGGATCACCCCCAGCTCAGGGTGTCCAGCCCAGGAGGGTCCAGACTGGAGCAGGTCTGCTGGCAGGGTCTGTGGGGTTTGGAGCAGGGCAGAGCACGTGTTTTGGGGTTGTTCACGAGCTGGATTCACCTGTCCTGTGGGGATGAGGTGCTGCAGACAGAGGAGGGAGTGGGTGCAGATGCCCAAAGCCCCATGGTGCTAGACGGCAGGAATCTACCCGTCACTGGTGTTTAAAATTCAGGTGTCTTGGTGTTAAACCAGCCAGCAGCCTTTTCACCTTCTGAGGAAAATATACACAAAGTGTATCTGTAGACCCACTTGGTCACCTGTGTCTTCCCCTCTCCAGCCATCACTGTTTGCCCTCCTTCCATCCCAAACCTTCCTCCTCCAACCACTGCTTTCTCCTCATCCTCCCTTCCCAACCACGAGGGCTGAGCTCACCTTTCCTAACTTAGCTTGTCCCTGGGTCCTCAGTATTGTGCCTGTGTAATGCTGGTCCCCCTTTTAATTCCCTATTAATCTTTCTGGTACAGATACTGAACCCCTGAGTGTCCTCTCCACAGCAGACAGCTGTTTTGGGCAGAGCTGTGGCTGGACAATGCAAACATGAAGGGTTCCATCAGAGCCTGGATGTGCTGGAGATGGATAATGTTGCAGTTGGATAATATGTGCAAGGGATCATCCTTGCAAACATGGAAGAGCCCAGAGAAACACTGGCAGGGGTGTCCCCTGGCCCAGCCAGGCTGAGGACCACCACAAAAAGCCATGAGCACACAAGCTCTGTCAGTGCAAGCATGGAGGGACTTGGAGAACAATGGCAGACTGAGGATCCCCAGTAATGCACCCAGAGAGACCTGGCTGCCCTGCCCAGGCTCCAGGACAACCCCAGGAGAGGCTCAACCCCTTGTGCCACATGAGAAAACCATCAGGGTGAGTCCCTGTGAGCTGCTCTGCAAGGCACCTTCCCAACACCACAGCAGACATCATTGGTATCACAGGGCATCTCACACTGTATCTTCTGGACTTCACAGTTCTGTCCTCAGCCAGCTCACTGTCTCACACACAGAAAATGACCCCCCAGATAAAGTTCTGGGGACTCCTGGCATCAGACAGTGGCATCAGATGTTTGCTGCGGTGCACAGATTTTATGCTAGTCATGGTGATGACGACAAGGAGCAGGTATTGCAAAGTGATGTAGAGCTGGGACACACAAAGATCTCCAATCCAGGCAGCTGTGCTGTCTGCTGAAACAGGGGAGGTGGAGGTGGGAGCAGAGGGAACCCCTGAGGTCATGTTGGTGATGGCTGGTCTGTGGGGTGCCACACGAGGAAGGCTGAGAGTAGGAGAAGCAATCTGAGTTTGGCTTTCTGTGGTAGGCCAGCGGGCACTGCAGCTCCCCACTGCCAACACAAGGTGAGGAGGATGCACAGGAAGGGGCTTTCCCTTGGCACAAGAGTATTGGGCAATCCCCCAGAGCCCCTGAGTCCTCTACTGTTTGATTGACCCTCCTTGGACTCAGCCACAACTTCTGCCAATCAGTAGGACTCAAGCCCAGTGGTGACTCCTTCATCCCACTCCTGCAGGCACCAGTAGCTTTGCTCCGAGCATGGAGAGCAAGAATCCCACAACTACCTACAGGAGAAGGTAAAACCCCAGGGGTCTTATCATGGGCTGCACGTTCTATCCTTGCTGGAGAGGGGCAGAACCTCCTGCTCCTCAGAAACAAGAAGATACTGTGACCCTAAAGGGACAGGGACAGCCCCTCAGTGCTCTGCACACCTAACAAGCAGGCAGGTGATTGATGACATCACTCGCACCCTGGAGCCCATCTGTCGTTTGTGTGACAATGTCAGACTGGGAAGTCAGCCAGTGCTTCCCCTTGGAAATGTCTGTCTCCAGTTATTCATAATGATAATGAACATTAATTGCTTGAAGTGCTGATCATAGAATCATTACGGTTGGAAATTACTTTTAAGATAAGTCTAACTGTCAGCCCGACACTACCATGACCACTAAGCAATGTCCCAGTGCCAGGTCTACAAGGTTTTTCAACCCCTCCAGGGGTGGGGACTCCACCCTCTCCCTGGGCAGCCTGGGCCAATGCCTCACCACTCTGGCAGGAAAAAAATCCTTCCTAATATGAAATCTAAACCTCCCCTGACACAGCTTCAGCCCATTTCCAGATCCTGGTGCCCAGCACCTGCCTCAGACCGCTCTCCACAACTGTAGGGTTTTTTAACCCCAACAGCACAGTTCAGCCACTGGAGGACAAGGACATGCATGGCTCTGCAGCTCTGCTTGTGTGGAATAGCAGGACACCATCGCTTCCCAGACAGACTCTGCCTCAACTCCCAGCTCTGCAGCAAGTATGTGAAATTCAGACTTGCTGAGACATTTCTGGTTGCTCACCTGGTGGGTTCACACACTCTGCTGGGGACCAGCAGCCCCTCCAGCCCAGGGGATGCAAAGGTGGGCTCCCTGTCTGCTGCAGGAGGGGCTGAGCCCCCTCACTGCACAGGTAGGCACAAGCACCACTGCCAAGCAAGACTTATCCCTACCAAGGTCCAGAAACTGCTCCAGAAGACCAGGTTAATCTGACTGACCTGTCAGGATGGGAACAGTCCCATGGTGACCTCAGGATGGATAGAGGGGAAGTCCCCTGTCACTGGCAGGATGAGTTTGTACCTGAGTAATAAAAGCCAGGCATGCTCCCTGCTTAGTCTTGGGTCATTTGTCTCTAAATGAAGCACCTCTCCTGTAACAAATAGTCCCTTCCTGGGCCACGCACTAAAGCTCCAGCCGGCTCTGGCAGACCTCCCCCATCTCCTGTGGGTTGATCATGAGCAAGAGGGAATGTTTGCCTGGAAACAATTTCCCTGATGCAAGTCAGGGTTGTATCAAGATGTGAAGACTTCTCCCCGCAGAGAGTCGATGCCATATCCACCAAGCCAGGGATGTTTCAGCTTCAGTAGCTCACAGAAATGCTCTGGTTTGTTAAACCAGTGAGGAAGCCAGAGGCTGACAGAAGCAAACATCAGAGGGTGAATTCTTCCATGGAAGGAGCAGATCCCAAGGTCATCATCACCTGTAGGTTTTCCACCACCTGGCCTGTGAACACCACCCCTTTATTCTGGGCAAGGGACCTTCTTCTGGGGGGAAAAAATACAATCAATAAAAAGAATTAGTTTTTAGCGAATGGTAGAACTCAGTCCCACCCAGAGAGGGAACCACGGGCAGTACAGTGATCACACATCCCTGAGGATGTGCCTCAGTTTAACTGTCTTTCCAGCTGGTGTTTTGGGAGAGAAGAAGCCAGCTCCTGCCCTGAGCTCTGAGACAGTGGGACGTGGATGTTTGGGACACTGAAACACCTGCCCAGCATAGCAGAGCTCCCACGACACAGGAGCTGGTTTTTAGCAGGGAAAGAAACAGAGGCAATGAGAGGAAGGTAAAGAAATCTGCATTTGCTCAGCTTTCCTCTAGTGCTGAAGAGTCCTGGTGCTAGACACAGTGGTCAGTCCCTCTCACTGGCCTGGGGGCATCATCCTGCTTCAGTTGCCAAGTTACAGCCCAAGCAGCTTCCAGCTGCTCATGGCAACTGTTCCATACCAACTGGCCACCAACAACTGGTGGCTGCAGGCACGACGGGAGCAAGGAAGGTCCTGGGAAAGTGGAGGGAAGAGGCATCTGGGGGCTTATCCCCTGCCTGGCTGCCTCTCCCACACACCACCAAGCCCTCAGCCTTGTAGGGCAACTGCTGGGCTGACCTGGCGGAGGAGCAGTGCTGAGAGGACCTGGGCTCTCTGGGCCCTGCTGATGGCTGCTGGAGCAATGGCCACCATGGCCAAGGAGGACCTGTTGGACTATTTCTTCATGCAGTACAGGCAGTACCTCCTGTCCTTGCTCAGGTGAGGGGGTTCCTCCACCCACCTCCATCCTCTCCATCTTCTTCTCCTGTCTCTTCCATTTCTCTTTCCCCCACCGTGGCAAACTCTCATTCCTTGTTTCTGCCATTTCAGTCTCCTCCCTTCCTCAGCCCTGTTCCTCCCAGTAACACCCCATTGCTCTGTCAGTGGGATCCCCACTTGGGAGGGGTAGGGATGCCATGTTGCCAGACGGGACCCGAAACGATGTTGGGTTGCTTTGCCCCATCACCCTGCCTGGGACTGTGCAGAGCAACCCAGCACGCTGCCTAGGTACTGGACCAAGCGTGGAACCTGGACGTAACCTTCTTTGGCAGGAAACACAAGCTGACAGAGGAGGACTACCTGTCTCCATTTATTCGCCTCCAGGAGAAGAAGAAACAAGCCAACCTGATGAAAAAGGCTCTGGAGGTGAAGGAAGAGGTGAGAAAGACGGGAGGGTGCTGGGGCACGGCTGGGAGGACTTGTGGTTTCTTGGAGGGCAGTAAAGGGTGGGAAGCTAGCTCGGGATGTGAGCAGCCATGTCACACTTGCTCTGGTGCTGCCAGGCCTTCAAGGAGAGGATGAAGGCCATAACCTGCCAATGGAAGGACCTCCACACCAAGGAGGCTCAGCTGAAAGTCTACATGGAGAAATCTGAGAGGATTTTAAAGGTACACCTGCCCCTGATCAGCTCCGCTGACATGACCTCGAGCCACACCACCACCTCCTCCCCTCCCTCAGAGAGCCAATCTTGGACCACCACATCTGTCCAAGCCTCCCTTGAGCCTGGAGGTGTGAAGAAGAGGACTAGCAGGACAGAGGGTTTTGTACCACAGATGTGTAAAGCCCTGGTAGGGCTATGGCAGGAGAGAGCTTGTCCTGTACCAGTGTGATCTCTTCAGTGCCCCAAACATCCTCCAAGAAGGGTCTCAGCCTGTCCTCACTGTTGACATTCAGATATCTTCCAGGGACAGAACCCCATAGGTCTGAAAATCAGAGTGCCATCCCAGGGACCTGTCTCCAAGACCAAAGGGTCAGTGCAAGAGGGATGACCCTGTTAAACAGGGAGTGAAAGTATTCCCCAGGGCTGCTCCAGTACTGGTCTCTCCTCTGTGAAAGTATCTCTTCCCAGTGCTGTTGAGTGAGTGACCCATTTCCATCTTCCCTTGCCTTCCTTTCTCTGTGTGTGTGTGTGTTGGTGGGGGAAACATCACCAGGAAAATGATAAAATGCCAATCCAAGCTCTGAAGAAAGCCAGCAAAGAGAAAGAGAGGACAATGCAAATGGAAAAGGAGCTTTTGAGAGCTAAGAAAGAACTGGAAATCCTGAGAAACAAGCAACAGCAACTCCGCAACAAAGTGGAGAAGTACTCCATCTTCAACAAGTACCTGGAGGATGTGGTGAAGATCTCACAGGTGAGTTTGCACCTGAGAGAGACAGATGATGGCCTCGAGGATGGCCTTATCTGGGTGTTAAACCTACAGGAGATAAGGCAAGTCCAGGGCGTTCGTAACACTTGGTCAAACCCAGAGATCTCATATGGGATGAGAAGAGATTCTCTGCAAGCAAGGTGAGCCAAGGGGACAAGAATTAGGGGAGCAGAATGAGTAAAGGAGGTGAAGGCTTAAGAAAAACAAAGAGAAACTGTTAGAAGTGGGAAAAGCAGAGGGCTTAGGGGCATGGGGACCACTTTGTGTCACTGCTTCATGTCACGTTGATGGTTTAGGAGAAGTGAAAATCTGCCTGGGAGTAGGAAGCCAGATAGTCACGAAAAAAAGCTATGCCCTCTCTCAAGGATGCCTGGGCATCACTCCATGTATCACGCTCACTCCTGAGTCCCAGCTGCCCCTCTCTCATGCCTGGGTGGCCCAGTGCTGGCAGTTGCAGTTGTGCTTTGTGTTTTATCAGGGCTCTGCTCACCTGGGAAAGAGGTGAAATAGCTCCCCGTGCTTATGGCAGTGACTGGGGCTGGCACAGTGGGATGTCATCATACAGGGACACAGACCAAGTGGGACAGTGGTCTTCTCAAGATCTTTCAGCTGGCAGAGGTGTTGTCCCTGGTCAGGGCAGGGTACCAAACAGCAAAAGACTGGCAATTGCGACGAGGGATTGCTAACACCAGGGATTACTGTCCTGTGCTGCAGTTTGAGGAGATCCAGGAGGTCATCAGGTGCTGCAAGACGCTGGTGAGGATGCACAAGGACCTGCTGCAGTCACAACAAGCGCACCAGGAAATGTCTGAGCAAGCCAAGGTGCTCCTCGATCAGTACACAGCAGAGAAAGAAGCTGAGATCCTCCAGCATGAAAACAAGCTGGTGCAGCTCCAGTTGCATTTGGAGCAGGCTCAAAAGGATGTCCTCCTATGGGTGAGGAAATGTGGGGTGGGCAGGGGAACAGCTCCAAGGCCTGGCCCTGTCAAGACCAGCTGATGGCCCATCCCTAAGACATGGGATCATGGCAAGGCTCAATAGCAGACTTTGTGATTGGAGGAGATGCCTAATTTCACCTCTCCAAGGCACTGTAGAATGGAGAATGACAGACCCTGAGGTCTGGAGCAGGTTACATCAGTGGTTAAAACAAGTCCCTCACAAAACCATTGTGCTCTTTCACTTCTTGCTTGGAACTCATAGTCAAAAGGGAGCAGCCAGCCAGGCCTTGAGGATGCCTGCCTTGGCACAAAACCCAATTGTATTCCACCACGTGCCTGTTGGGTTTGTCTAGCCTAGTCATACTCATTTCCATTCACCATTCCTTGCAGCATGATCCCTATAATGGGGCTTCAGTGTGGCATTGTCTCATGGTCTCCCCTGTCCATAGGTCAGGCCTCAGAGTGAAGCTGGTTTTGCTGATTTTTATTATTTGTTCTCGTCCTTTGCACAGCAACTTCCCACTAGGGCTCACCCCTCCTCCTTCCACCTTACCAGTCCAAAAATGACCAGACTGGTGGGAAACTGCAGGTGCTGGCAGAGGATGGGGAGGTTCCCAGGGTAAGGAACAGCTGGGATGGTTCCTGGATCTGCTTCCACCACACCAAGCTGAACCACCTCCAGCACAGCCTTGGGCAAGGACAGGTGCTTCCAGCAAAACCAGTGCTGAAGTAGCATCTTTGCTGGGGCATGTCTCCATGCTGCATGTCTCCTCTCCTCTCAGGAGACTTGCTGGGCCAACATCCAGGACACGACTGCCGAGAAAATGCAGAATTTGGGGAACATCAAGATGGCCATCCTCAACCTCTTCCAGTGTGTGAACATGCAGCTGAAAGCAAACCTGAAAGTGCTAGCAGATGACAGCCACACGCAGCTGAACATGGTAGAACCAAGCCCAACCTTTTCTCCCTGCCTGGAAAGTGGAGCAGTCATGGCTCCCAGCTTCCCAAAGTGGGGGGACAGCCCAGGGAAATCAATGTGCCCAACAGTCCCCTTCCTTTTCAACCTGGGCGTTCCCTCAGCCATGGGGAATGGGCAGAGGACACCAGGGAAATCTGTCTCATCTGGGGAGGTGGAGCAGGGTTTGGGTCCCAAGCAGGGCAGAAGGGGTGGGAGCCAGTCAGGCTGGGGAGAAGGATGTAGGTCAACTCATGGCCAAGGTTGGGTTTCATTCACCCTTGCCCTAAACTCCCCCTCAAGAGCCCTTTCTGGTGGTGCAGATCCAGCAAGGCAAATGCCTTATCCTCCTGCTTGATTTAGTGGGTGAAATTTGCCCTCCAAAAGGGCCAACAAGTTCCTCTTGGTCTCTT